GCATCCGATTGCCGCTCTTAAAGACGGAGGCGTACGAAGGGCTCTACAAAATGGTTTCATCAAGAGGATGTCTTCAGAGTCATAGAAACATGAGTCGTAATCCCTCATCCATGCGTACCCATCAATGCTGTAGACCCCTGAAGTGCATTTATTCAACGTCACTTAGTCATTCGATTTCCGTCTGAAAACTCATCCGTGCGCGTTTGCGTAGCGGTTAGATGTCGCTTCTTTCTCTCTCTTTAATCACTTCTTTTTTTCTGGTTGTCTTGGAAAACGTCGAACCGCTACGCAAACGCGCGCGGATGAGTTTTTCCCCCCTCCGGCACGCCCCTGCTTCGATTTCTCACAGCTACATGCGCGCTACGCGCTCGCCTATTGCTGTCCTTGCGCTTAGGTTCCTCATCGCAAATTCACACCTTTAGAGACTCGTTCTTTCACAGGTTTTGTGTCCTGCGCGTCTCATTGTTCCCACGCTTCAGTCGCAAACAGCATACGACTCTATCAAGAGCTGCTCAACAGGGCCGATGTACTGAAGATCCCCCATGCTGTGCGTCAGGTGAAGAGTTGCATGTATTCTTATTTTATGTTGCTATTTCACCGTTCCGTTTTAAGGCCCTGAAGTGCTTGCTTGTTATTCCCGCAAGCAATGCGGACCCAGAACGCAGTTTTTCCACGGTAAATAGACTCACACGAACCGATCGGAACAACCTGGGAACTCCAATGATTGGATGCTCTAATGAGGTAGACTTTTTATTCATTTCGGCGGTACTGCATCTTTTTCTGGAGTGTTTTCATCTTTTGACAACTCAACTGTTCCAGGGTACACAGAGACGGACCCAGCCTGCTCACTGTTAAGCCGAAGAACTTAGTCCGACAGTGGATGACTCCTCTTCCTGGCCTGGACCTTCGTCCACACATGCCCTCCACTTTTGTTCGATCGGATAGTTTCATGAAGGACGTTAAAGATGCCATGCTGAAAGGTACCATTCCTCCACATGTCCCTTCTCAGTGGTGAGTAGCACATGCAATTGCAGGAGACACAGATGCGCTTCTGGATCTCTACGTCACTCATTACATGACCAAGAATCGATTAAACGATAGACATGACGCCCAAAAGATAATGAAAGTGAGAGACGGGAGCTCGAAACTTCCAGAGCAATGATTTTTTCTTCAGGAGTTCTCCACGACAAGATGTCTAATAAATCTTTTATCATTTAATAGTGATACAGCAGCAACATTAATGCCATTAATCACATATGATCTATCTTGCCGTCTAAATTCACTTAAAGGAAGGTCTTCTATCGAGCTCCGAATGCAGGTTTTGGGATAGGCTTCATAAACCATCGACTTTCCTATGGAAAGAAGGCTGATGAACGGATAAATCTGAAAAAAAACTGCTCATGAAATTTTCACGTTTTTTTAAGCTGTACGGCTTTCATAGCTCCACTCATCTTATCAGGTGAATTGTCATAGCGTTGCCAGGTGCTCACTGACCCCTATGGTTACGACCCCCCCCCTCTCCATCGGCCAAGTACGACCCCCCCCCATGGGTTTCGCACAACGATGCTGTACCCTGATCGACACGCACTAGCCTTTCATGGCGTATACACTCCCCAACTTCACAATCCGTCGATTCTTCAGTTTTAGGAAGAAGATATGATAACTCCAAAGTGGCTTACCCTTCTTCCATTCGTGCATTCGGTTTTGTTCGTAGCGGACGATGGGCTGTGTCTGGAAGGAAGGGTTTGACGCGACGCCAATTGTTTTTCCAATTAGTTGTTGGTAAGCAGGTGACAAAACTGTACCACATACTTCGTATCAGTCGTTTTCCGCCAATTGTTATCGCTTACCAGCTTCAACAGCCGGTGAAAAACTGTTTTGGAACCGCGCCAAACCCACTTTTTGACACGTCCCTTCATCGTCAACGAACAAGACTGTGAGCTTTTCCCGAGAGACCGCTAGCAAGGAAAAAAATAGTAGGGCTATGAGACACTTACCAAGACCACCAATCAGTTTGATTAAATGATCTTCAAAGGCTTCAAAACATCTTTGATGTAACAAGACGTCAGCGAATGGACATTTCTCATTCGAACATTCCATTCTCACTCCATCATCTCCAACTGGTAGAGGCGTTCCTAGTTAAAATAGTTGTAGCAAAAAATCAAAGGCACCGTGCTTTGTACATACCTATAAAACAGCGTATAGGATCGGGAACTGGACACCCGTGTACCTTCGTGACAGAAGGCGTAGGTTGTACCGACGTGGTTTTGTTGCTCTTATCCTTGCCGCGAGCTCTGTCGTGTTTGCGAGCTGAACCCATTGGGAAATCTGAAAAAGGCTCCATCAGCAGCAGTTTCTGTGGAAAACTTACCCGAATCGAGTGCAAAACCACAAGAACAACTGCAATTAGAAACCAACATCTCTCAGAACAATCCAAGAATGAAATGAAACACCTGTACTGTAGAGAATCAACTAGGAATGAGTGAAGATAACTATCAAACGGAAGTTCAGAAGAAAAAAAAATGAAAAAGAATGAGAACTGCGATAACTTGGCCTTGTGAAAAACAAGTAACGATAATACGCGCGCGAACGGGAGCCCCGGTTTTGAAACGGGCGCGCCTAAGTTGGGATTCAAGTCAGAGGACAATAGGCAGCTTACATTTCAGTTTACATT